CAGGAGAGCTCCCGCTGCGGGGTCAGGGCAGGTGGCAATGCAGGACACATCCAGCCCCAAAGCCCACCCGGGTGCTGCTGCCAAGGCACGCACCAACCTTTCCCGCCCCAGGCTTTGCAGCTTGGCATCTCCATGCTGCTTTCCATGTGCCAGCAATGGCAGTTAGTCTTTAATTTCTTTGATGCTACTCCCCCCACACAGCCCCTGCAGCACAGATGTGGTCGTGCGATTCCCCAGCTTTGATATTTGCACAAGTGTCTCACAAAACACAGCTGCCTTCGCAAACGGCTCCAACCCCTCGGCAGAGAGCAGCCGCAGCTGCCAAGCCCCGCACCTGGCTGCCGTGCTCACACAGTTTTACCCACTGGCAGGGACCAGGATCACACCACTTTGCAAATTTAGGGCACTGGTTGTAGCTATTGCCTATTTCACTTAGTGCGGACTGGGGAACCAACCCCTTTCCCTCACGCCAGCCAGCCTCCTTCTTCAGGCCTGCCCCTCCTGCCCGGCCAGGACCTGGGCAAAGACCAAAACCAGCCCTCGAGCTCAGCTGACTCATTGCATCAGCTGAACACCTCAGCCTCTTCCAGGGTGAGGTTTCTTCTGCAATTTACCCAGCAGCAAGTCACCCTCACACACATCAGTGTTGCACCTGCAACTCATCAGGCCAAAAGGTCAGCACAGAAGTACAGGAGTGGTTTTGAACAGTGGTTTTAAGCACACTTGTACCCTGCAGGGACAATCAGTCCAGCCAGTTTCTCCAGTCCCAGGCTTCTCCAGATCACAGCGATGACAAGTGATTCTTGCTGGAACACCAGTTCCCATCTGTGACACCATCAGCTTCAAGTGTAACAGCAGGGCATTAATTCCCACCCTGCTTGCCTCCTGCACTGGTTTCTGTACGCTTGTGTGCACATGTAACATATTCCCACCTGCAAAAACATTGGTTTGTAGGTGGTAAATGGGAATCCCTCTCTTTTAGCATCCATAACATCCTGTGGCAAGGAGCCCCACAGCTGTCCTACCCCGTGGAGCACTCTCCCTTTGTCTTGTGTCACTGCCAGTTTATTTGATGGGATAGAGATGAAAGAAACACAGGGTCTCTTCCGGGCTCCTCCCCAGCTGCATGGTGCAGCCCTTCCAGCCTCAGCTCCACACCCCAAGGCCAAAGCAGCAGGAGGCAGGTGCACACTTAAGACCATCCCCTTTCCCCAAAACATCACTTATAGTTATTGCTCCCCCCTCCCTCCGCTTTCTCCATGCTAGAACTGTCTCTACAGAAAACAAGTGCAGAGTGATGCTTTAGATGGAGATGAGCAGGTCCGAGTCTTTCAGAAAGATGCAGACAGGGAAGTGGTCCCACCAGGGCACGTTGCTATCACAGAGTAGTTATTTGAAACTGATGTGGACAGAAAAAGCCCAGTCAAGTGAGAGAAAAGCATGACAGGACAAAGCCATAAAACGGGATATAGAGCACAAAGACTGTTAGAAGGCTCTTGAAATAACTGGCCTCATTTCTCTATACTTTGTTTTCCATCTTCCTGTGGACAGTCTTGCTGACTGCAAGCAGACAGCCATGCCCAGCATCTGGAAATTAAAGGCTTAACCTTGACTAGGCTGGACTAGAGAAAGGTCTTTAACTCACCCTGAGGTACCCTAGGCCAGCCTTGCTTCTCCTCCAGCTGAAGCACCTAACTGGTGAGCTGGGAAGGGCTGAGCCTGCTCTTCTCACCAAACCCTCCCAGAGGAGGGCAGGAGGAGCTTTAACAGCACTGCCCTCCTCTCCACCCTTCCACAAAGGTTTTCATATGCCCAGGACAGGGCTGAAGGACTATGATCATAGAGAAGCAATCAGATCTAGCACTCTTCCTGCCACTGCAAGCAGCTTCAAGAAAAGCAGAAGGGTAGCTGCCCTACTACAGTCTCAGGTCAGCCAAGCAGGCAGGGCCTGCTCAACTCAACTCTTAAAAACCAATCTGAAGGCAGAGACTTTACAGCAAGGAAGAAGCACAAACATCCTTCAATTAGCAGGCACTGGCTTGCTAAAATGGTGACTAGACAGAGGAAAGAAAGCACGTTAGTGAAGGGGGGAAAAAAAAAAAAAGAAAAAGACAGTCAGAAACAGGAGTAAACAAGAAGGTTTGTTCTTGTTAAGTTTATTGGCATCATGTTTGTCTCTTTACATAAGAGCTCAGCCTACGTACTAGAATGTAGACCTCTGGAAAACAGGTAGAAGGGCTCCATTTAAGCAAGCTACAAACGCAAGAACAAATACCAGGAAGAAAGGAAGAGAGGAAAAAGGGACTAGATTGCCAAGTTCTTCCATACCAAAAATCCAGATTAGCAGTCAGTACGAAGAAAGGGAAGATTCATAGTCCAGGTCATTCATCGAGAAACAGCTACCACAACCCAGGTGGGAGAGGAGCTCCTTCCACAGCACAAAGAGCCACTGGGACACCTCAGCTCTGGCTCCTTCTCACACTCGCTCCAGGATGTTAGGAGTTAAGCAGTAGGGGAGGTGAACAAATGAGGTCATTTCATAGCTGTATTTAATTTTAAATCCAATAATCCAGTGTGCATATCAATGCTGTTATGCAAATCTGAGAATTTAGATACAAGGAAGCCAGACAGATTTTCCAGAAGATGAAGCCTTTTTGGCCTCAAAACAAGAAGGCTTACATAGTTCATCTCTACTGTACAGAATACTGCCTCTATCTGGACTTTGTGTTGCTAGCACGCTGCAGTTCACAAGTGTCCTCCTCACTTTCTACACAATCTGTGTTTCAGTACTTGAACAGGTAATTGAGGAATTTTACACTAATTTATACATTTTTAATTGGTTGCATATATTAACATGTACTATAAGATTTTTCCTAAAGAAGCATTACATAATACATGGATACTGTAAAAAGATCTGATTAGTTAAAAGTAACAAGCATTAACAGAGATACATACAAAACTCAACCTAGTTGGACCGAGTGCTGAGCTTGCAATGAACTATGGGTAATCAGCCTTTCCAGTTGCAGCCTTCACAGGGGAAAACACGAGACAGTTAAAAATGTATGTAACTTGTTACACAGATTACCTGTAAACAGTTTCTCTCCGTTGGACACCTGGAATTAGATTCAGTTCCAAACATACATAAGAGTTTCCATTTTAAACTAAGAGAAAGGTCTGTTACCATGAAGTGTGATGTGGATGGTATGGGGACATGAGCTCTGAAGTGTGGGACTCACAGATGCTCATGGGAGATGGGTGGATTTTGGCAGCTGGAGATGGAAATTTTTTTAAATTTCATTTTAAACACAGAAGAGGGGCTGTGTGTTTGAAGGCCTAAGTGTGATATTCATTTGTGAAGGACTGTGCTCAACCCCTCCCTCTCCCCTCAGCAGCTGCAGCTCTCCGCAGAAGCCTTCACTCGGTCATTCTTGTCTAGTTTGATGGGTTCGGGGAATTCATTGTAAAGCTCCACTTCGGTTTCCTAGTGGGAGAGAGGGGAGGAGTTAGTGCCACAGCTCTACAGACAGCTCCTACCATGCAAGGAGCCATTCTCAGCTGGGGAAAGCTGGTTGGAGAGCCCAAGGCTGCCTGCAGCAGCTGAGCTCAGCAGGCAGGACCAGCAAAGGGCACCCACTAGCCCCATCCCTACCTGTTTAAGTGCATTTCGTGCAATCGTCTGGAAAGCTTGTTCCACATTAATGGCCTCCTTGGCACTGGTTTCAAAGTAGGGGATGTTGTTTTTACTGTAGCACCAGGCTTGCGCCCGTTTTGTGGTGACCTGGGTGGACAGAGAGTAGCATCACCACTTTCAGCTACGCAGGAAGGGGGTTTTATTTCCAGGGCAAGGCCAGAGACCCCTCGTATCCAATCTGAGCTAAAACAGCAGTTCTGATATCATCAAAACTACAGCCTTGATACTGAGCACAGGAGACTGCTGCCCACCACCGGATACACTCAACCCTGCGGCAAGGAGCACTATGCCTAGGGGAGACCACAGGGCACAGACTGCTCAGGTATCTGCAGAGCGAGGACTTGCTCCCATAGGAGTTTCTCAGCAGTTCTGGAGGAGGAGAATCAGCTCCTCTCCTTGCATCTACCCAGGAAGCTGCTGCAATCCTTCCACCAGTGGGCAGGAGCAAGCTGCACACAGGGTTTTGACCTTTCCAGGCAGGAGAAACACTTCCCAAGTGGCACACAACAGTTGAGCCACACTCAGGCACCTCCCACTCCTGTTTCTCAGATAACTCTCCCGTGTTCCTACAAGGTCTCCCACTCCAGCAATTTCCTAAGGGGAAGCCAGCAAGTCCCAGTACTCACTTGTCTGTTTTCTAGGTCAATCTTGTTTCCCAGCACAACAAAAGGAAAGTTCTCGGGATCCCTTGGACTGGCCTGAATGAGGAATTCATCCCTCCAGCTGTCTAGGGTTTTGAATGTGTTGGGGGCCGTGACATCAAACACCAGGACACAACAGTCTGCTCCCCTGTAGAAGGCAACTCCCAGAGACTGAAATCGTTCTTGTCCTGCTGTATCCCATATCTGGAGCAAAAGACAGGGCAGATAAGCCAGCTCTACTCTGACATAGTCCACAATTAAAGCATTCATTTCAAAACTCCCCACCAGGCATCTACAGCCCCCAGCTAGCCAGAGAGGTGCATCTGAAGGCTTGGGAATTTCTGTAGGCACAAAGTATCAAGAGCCAGAAACACCCTTCTAAAAGATAGGTAACACTTTTTGTGTTCAGCCTCAGCAAAGGAGACATATCCTTGTTCTGGGCAAGCAGGACTCAGGTATTAGAGTCCGCAGGTGACCTGCCTGCAGTGCTTGGGTGCACTTGAGTACCAGCACAGTCCAAACACTCCTCTGACAGCTGCAACAGGGCTTGCAGTCAGTCTCACCAGAGACACAAAAGCTTCAGATACTAGAGACATAAGCAGACTGGCAGGTTAACACTACACCCACAGGACACAGGGCAACATGAGTAGTTGACCTGACTAAGGAGTCCTTTCCACCTCCTGAACTCTTAGCAAAATGCATCTTTCTAAGAAGATCTAGCTTACTGACAATACCAAATGCTGTTTTTGTAACCGGGCCTGGTAAAGCTGCTCTTAGCTCAGCAGAAACTGATCTTTGCCTTCTCTTGTTTGGTCCATGCACAGATTTGTAGAGAAGCCCAGCAGCACCTATGGCCAAGAGCAGTTCAGTGCAAACAAGATTCACACCCAGTACACTGACCTCTGCACTGCTCTGGACTACACTGGAGCAGATACTTCCACACAAGTGTGGTCTAGGCAGCCAGGCACCCCTTGCAGCAGGGAGCAGAGTCACTCCTTACCTGCATTGTCACTAGCCTGTCATCCACCATGACCTCTTTTGTCAGGAAGTCTGCGCCTATCGTAGCCTTGTACTGGTTACTGAATTTCTTGTTCACATACTGGTTCATGAGCGATGTCTTTCCCACCCTGTACAGAAAAACAAAAAAGACTAGGTAGACTGTTTCTACAACAGTGTTTGAATTAACCACCCTGAACAGAACATCCCAGTGCTCTTTGCATTCCACCATAGCCTCCTGGCCTTTCAACCAGGGAAAAATGCACCCACCTCTGCAAGAAGGGGGTTTTACAGCAATAGATGCTGAGATAAGTGCTGAGTAAAAGCATTAGCTACCTAAAGGATACCAAGGATTACAATCTTGAGAAACCTTGTTTCACCATCAGTAATCTGATCCTTTAAGTAGTATGTATCACATTGTGATCATGAGGGCAATTTTGGAAGAAGATGAAGTGCCCCAGAGAAACCAACCAGAACCAGTCATCTTCAACCTCTGCAGAATGAGGAGGTGAAAGAATAGACAGCCTCAGCTGCCAACAGCCCACATACACATCTGCTACGCACCTAGAGATGGAGATCCTCCCCAGAGATCCAGCTTAGAGGCTCACATGCCCTCTCTGTGGCTGAGAAACACTCCCTGATCAACAGCTTGCTGGGCACAGTGGTATAAATAAGTCATGGGAGTCGGGTTACTGCCTGCATGGCAAGTAACCTCTAACAGCAGAGCAGACTCCTTGCTAAACATCAGAGCAAAGCCTTTCACTGCAAGGGGCAGGCTCTAGCCAGATCAGACAGAAGCTAAGCAGATGGCTCAGTATAAACTATGCCTGACAGTGGCAGAGTTTTAAGTAGTCAACTAAGATTGCTTACTAGTGGGTTTTGGTTTGTGGGGGTGTTTTGTTTTGTTTGTTTTTAAATTTGTTTTTTATTGAAGTGAAATATTCATTTCAACACCATACATCCTCCTTGCAGAAAGGCTATCCAGTTCTGCTACTGGAGTGGTCTGCCCATCACATTTCCCCTGCTTAATATTATGGCAGAGGTTCAAGATGTTAAATTGTGGGGACATATTCAGGACAGAGGGTGGTGAAGACGTCTTAAAGCTATAAGGTAATGTGGCTATCTGGGGCTGTAAAAATCTCTCTTCCCAGCACTGCTGGTTTCTTACAGTGCATCCAGTCTCCCACTAGTTAAGAGGACTGCTCCAGCGAGATGCAGATTGGCAGCTTAAAGGCTTTTCCACTTACCCAGAGTCTCCAAGGATGATGACTTTCAGTAACACTTTCTTCCTAGAAGTCATCTTTTACACTAGAAAGGAAGAGGAACAATCACATTAAACACCATTAGCATGTCATTCCTCAAGCAGAAAGTAGCAAGTTTGGAGTCTGAGAAACCGGACTCCCAGCGAGGAACCAGTGACAGGTGGGGCCCAGCACTCCTGAAACCAGACTCCTTCAATTCAAAGCCACACTTGAGCACTAACCAGGTGTTTGCCCATTTCACAGGCAGGATCATGTCAGACCAGTAGTGGCAGCTTAATATCAACAGGTAGATGAACCAAGCACTTGTCCTTTACAGTACCAAGTCCATTTTGGACCCTATTTCCAGGCCATTGTGTGGGTATACTAGCCTAGGCCATATCCCTTAGCCTCACTGGAGGCAGTGTAGTAAAGCGCATCAGCTCCCAACACAGTAGCATGTGTAAGAATTGGCCTAAGACAGACATAAGCAGAGATGTGTCTGATACCACACTTAAGATTTTTTTTTTTTTTTAATGCTGTTCAGTAGTTTCCTCAGTAGAAAAAAAAAAAAAAAAAGAAAAAGATGGGCTTCTTCCACCTTTCAGGTTCAGCTTAGAGAAGCAATAGCTTTCTCTAGCAGCTGTGCTTTGTGAAAGCATTGAGTCCCAAGGATTTGCTGTGGTTGAAGTGGTCACAACACAACCACACAGGCCAGCTGAACAGCTGAATTAAAAGGCAAACTGCTACCAGACTTCGCAGCTTTGCTGAGAGCATGTGAAGCTAACTACTGCCATCTCGCCTTTGGCAGAAGGACAAGTAAGGCTACAGTGACAAACCTCACAACAGTCTATTGCTCTATTAGACGATGAGTTATTTGTTCAGTTGCATCCTGCCATGACTCCAGTCCACTTTATAGGCAGGTGGCTCTAAATTGGCCACTAATGGTCCATCCAATTAGCAAGAGTGAGAGTTGAGCTCCAAAGATCCACTCTCTTACTTGCTCCTAGATCTCCTTTAGATTAGCGAAGCAGCTAGAAATACATCAGCTGCAGCAGGCATGAATACACTTCTGGATGTGCTTGTGTTTGCTGTCACTGTGCTAAAAGTCTTGCTATTAGTGGCTGAGCATGCCCTTCCTACCCTGAGGCCCCTCTTCCCACCTCTGGGGAAGGGATGCGACAAACCATTCTCAGGTGCTCAGGCTTGATCAGATCACAGCCCTGGTTTGGTACTGACCTGGTACACAACACAAGGATTCCTTGGCTTTTCCCGAGGAGCCCTGCAGGTTCTGTACAACAAAAGGAGCCAGAAGACAGTTATAGCTGTGCTATTTGAGTTCAAAGACCCTTGACAACAAGTTTCATGTATTAAGCCCTTATATAGGGACTTGGTTACCCTTAAATCCCCATCCTGCTACACCACATTCACTGTACCACACAACTCCTACTCCTCAGGAGCTATTCCTGACTTTCACAGCGAAGGAGGCCTTCACTTCTACAACATGGATATACACATCTTCTGAGCAGCTCAGTCCTATGCATTTCCTGGTATATGCAACAGACTAAACTGCTAGATAACTGCAACCCCCTTCATCCCACTACTACAGGAGGTAACATGCTCCAAGCTGTAGGAGCCTCTTACTAGATGCAGAGTCCAGTTGCTAAGTGTCTTAATCATCTCAAGCTTTGAGTGTTGAGACACACGCAGTCGTTTAGACTTTGCCATTAGTGAATGCTGCAGAAGCTGAAGAAGCCCTCCTGCAGCTGCTGTAGGTAGTGGTACACTTACAGTTACACCACGTTGGACTGCACCCACCTCATGCATCTAGTGATACATCTAGATGGCAAACACTGTTGACAAGATAACAGCCAGAGGCTGTTGAGTGAACAGCAGTGGCAGGCCACCCACAGAGCTCATGCTATCCTTAGATGGGTGTTAACAGATGCCAGAGAGCCTGCACAGGACAGCTTCTCCAAGTGTAAATATCTCTCCTTCCCAAGGTTGTCTATGCTAGACTGCATTGCTCAATGATCCAACATGGCTCAATGATCCAAGATATAGCCAGCTGAAAGTTGTCAACAACCCCAGCATTTAGTCCTGCTTCTGCCAAGATCCACACTCTACAGCTCATGTCCTCTACAGTTGTGCAGAGAACAGGCCACGTAAGCTCCTTCAAGCAGACTGCACCTCCTGAGTTTTCAAAGCACGAAGCACAAGTGACACTTGTGCTAACCAAGCCAGAAACTTTTGCAGCACAATCAGCCCAGATGGAGCAAGAAGCAAGTGAGCAGAGCTTTGAAACAGCTTAGACACAGCTGTGTACACTGAACTGTCATGGAAAACATCTGTATAGGTTTAGGTCCAGTGTGAGTCACCTGTTTTCCTCAGGACAGAGGAAAACAACTCACCCTGAAGTGACTGTGCCAGAACCCAGCATGTACTGCTTCTATTTTCCTCTGAGTGTTTTCAGAATCACTTGCCACAGGCTGCTGCAGCTGACTGCTTCCTGGTATTCGAAGCAGCTTTGCACAAGCTGGCATTAGTTCTCATGATCAGGGAGGGATTTGCAGAGCCCTAAATCACACTGGATGCTTAGCACCCAAGTTCAACACAGCCTGAAGTCCCACTATGAAGGGAGGGGAAACTGCTCTGTCAAGTCTCATTATCTTAGAAGTAGCTCAGCTGGGCAGCCACCTGAAGACATGAGAAGGAAGTCTGAGTCAGACCTGACACTGCCTTCTTGTCATAGCTGACAGCCCTTCACACTGATGGGTTGGCCTATTACTGCGTCATGAACACTGGTCAGGTGAGACCTGAGTTTCCATTCCAAGTGATGCAACGGATATGAGCCAGAGCACAGAAGGAGCTGCATCAGCTTGGTATTTGGTTTGGGCCATGAGACAGCAAGGAACTCCAGTCCTGCCAGGGCCCAGCAGTGGACACTGCCCAGAGTTTCCCACCCGTGTTCTACTAGGCTTCATCAACGCTGCTTTGAAGCCCAGTCAGCTGATGGGCCAAACCCTCTTATTAATCTTCTCTTGGAGGAAGTACCAGTGTTTGATCTTTCTATAGGAGGAAACCCCTCTAAGTTTACATCAAGTTGCTCTCTACAGCACCACCTTTGCTATTTCGCTAATCCTCACCGTGTTCTGTGTGGCTGAGCAGGTCTCCAACAGCAGCTCCAGCTTTAACGCAGCTCTTTGTGCTAAACAGATGTCTGACTGGTCCCAGTGAGATCTTCAACCTAGATGGATTGAAGACATCCCCACTGTCTTAACTGAGGTTTCTTAGGAAGCAACCCAAAGTGTCAAACTACTCCAAGGGCAGGATACCATGCCTCCTCCAACATCTGCTTCCAGTCACAGTGTTTTTAACAAGCTGTGGTACTGGAAGTGAAAGACACTACTGCCCTCTGAAGGTCCCGTAAGTAAAGCCTTACTATAGTCTCCTTAACACCACGCAAAGGATTTTGGTGACTTCAGCTTATACTGAGTCAACAGCAAATACAACATCTTCATGGCAGAGGATGCTTCCACACATTGCAGTCCAAGTAAGCTCAGAAATACCTCAAGTCAATCCTGGCTACAGCATGCCATTTGCTGTGTCAGTAGAACAAGGTGCAACCAGCCAACCCTGTGCCAAGTTCAGTACTCAAAGATTTGCTTGCCTGAAGTCAGAGACAATTTATGATTATTCTCTTGTTAACACAGGCTGTTTCTCTCATTACATGGCATTGAGTAGGTTCATCACCGCCTTGCGTCCCAGAAATGGAGCCCACATAGGTGCTCTAAGCTGCACAGATCTCACTTCTGGTGAACCTTGCTAGTAGAAAATCAACTAAGGGAGACCAAGAAAACTATAGCTTTAGCTCACAGATGAAGCAGGCTGGAATACCTGAAGGAGCAGTTAATTCACACGAGGAGTTTCTCCAGTCACACCTGCAAGAAATATTAAATTACTGAGCTAAGGTGAGATGTAGGCTGTGCAGGGTTTCCCTTTCCACAAGCTCAGCTTGAGTTGAGATCAAAACTGTAATAGTACTGAGTCAATGGTATCCAAGTCTAAGATTATTTTGCACTATATATGCAGCTTGTCTTGCTTTATGACATTTCATATAATTACTCTAGAGAAGCATCCTGTAAAAGTCACATAAGCCCTTAAGATGGCAGTGTGCGAGCTCACACAGGGCTCACATCCAGTCCCAGGGGCATTTCTGAACAAACACTTCCTTTTTCAGAAAAATCATGAAGAAAAACCTGTTTGTTAAGATTTGATCCAAGACATCAGTTCTGTTTTACACTGTGTGAAGTCTCTTGGAGCAAGGTCATCTGCATGACTGCTCAGAACACAGCCTACCAGCACACCCAGGTAGCCCTGCTCAGGAGCCATCAGAAACTTCCTGTCAATCAGAAGACCAGTCAGCATCATTCCTCCTCCTGGCCTCACTGGTGCCAAAGGAATAACACAGCTGCCTCTAATACAGGAGAGGAGTCCTTCCACTCAACCTTTAATGCCTATCCCTCTAAGCAAACAAGCCATTAACAGCATGCTGGCCATAATGAGATTAAGCCTGGTATAGCATACTCTCTCCCACAGCAGCGTTATTGCCCTTGTAAGGCTGGCCTGCTGGAGCAGCAAGGGAGAACCCCTAACATCTGACCTGCAAGTGTTACTGGCTTAGCTGATCTGAAAGGAAGAATCAAACACTGTCCTATGGAGCTCCATAGTGCTACAGCTCCTCAGGTGCAAGAGAAAATAAAGCCCATGTGAAATCTAATTAGGCTTCCCTTGTTGCTTCAGAGTACAACTGTCCTTTCACCTGCTATATTAAGACAGCTGCTTTAACTCAAAGTAGAAATGGATGGTTAAGGATTCCTAGAAATGTTCACATGTGTCAAGTCACAATGCAGGTATTTTAATATTAATTAGGTTGATACAAGCAAAGAACAGTAGGAGCTTGCATTGATGGCCCACCAGATCTCTTAGATTAGCTATCGTTTAACAGAAGTAGACCTTGCAATGGGAACACCCTGTCAAGTTGTTTATGGACAGTTTTAGTATGAAAGT